GGGTTTGGGGTTGGGGTCGCCCTTGTAAGGTGCGATGCCCTTCGTCTACTCGGCTGAAGGGATGGGTTCGACGGAGCATTTCTTTCTATTAGTCTATTCTTCGTTTCTTTCTTATTTCACGTTGGCTGGAATGGGCTGGGTGTTTAGCCAGGTTCAGGAATAAATGCGAATCGAACGAATCGCACCAGAAGAAATTGGAATCATCCACCACGGGTGCTGTTTCCTTTTTCGGTTTGTCGACCTCTCTCCTGCATCGTTTGATCAGAGCCATATATATATATATGCTTACGCCCCCCCCCCATGATCCATACTATGCTTGCTTTTGGTAAGCAGTGGATCATGGGAGGTGGGCAGCTTCGGATGCTGAAACACTGCCAGGCTCGAAAATCACCAAAATTCCTGAAGCCTCAAGTGCGAAAACACTGGCAGGGATCAAAAATCCCCAAAATGCCCAAAATGTGAGAGACTATGGCACCGCACTCGCATAGTTGCCAGGATTTTGGGAATTTTCTGGATTTTTGATCCCTGCCAGTGTTTTCGCATTTCAGGCTTTACAAATTTTGGGGATTTTCGAGCCTGGCGGCATTTCGTCAACGTCGGATGCTAAAACACTGCCAGGCTCGAAAATCACCCAAATTCCTGAAGCCTGAAGTGCGAAAACACTGGCAGGGATCAAAAATCCCCAAAATGCCCAAAACGTGGGAGACTATGGCCCCGCACTCCGCATAGTTGCCAGGATTTTGGGAATTTTGAGGATTTTTGATCCCTGCCAGTGTTTTGGCATTTCAGGCTTTACAAATTTTGGTGATTTTCGAGCCTGGCGGCTTTTCGTCAACGTCGGATGCTAAAACATTGCCAGGCTCGAAAATCCCCAAAGTTTTGCAAAACTAAACACCCATGGCCCCATAGATGCCACGATTTTGGGAATTTTGGTGATTTTTGATCCCTGCCGATGTTTTCGCATTTCAGGCTTTACAAATTTTGGTGATTTTCGAGCCAGGCGGCATTTGCTAACCTTGGATGCTGTGTTCCTATTATGTCTTTGTTTGTCACGTGTATACACATGGCATATGCTTTGTTTTAATGCCATGTCAAGGTGCGGTATGTTCCACGACATATCCGTTGCAGTTCTCTCCCGAGTGAAAGTCATCGTTTGTGTCCCTCTTTTCCTCTTTTCCAGCATGATCCGCGACGGGGGTGACATATCCTTGCAAGATGCTCTCGATGCCACCAATTCTTTGAGATATTGTATCAAAGCACACCACACCCGACGACAATCTGTAAAGTAAAACATTTGCAGTAGATATACAACATATACTTTGACATGCCATGTACTGAGGACGCATGCACCAGACGCGCGGCACATGAGTTACGTGATAGTTTTGTGGAAGTATCGATGTTACTAATATATGCGAGTATACTAATATACGACTACTGCAACATGCAAGTATACCGACATGACAAATTAGTAGACTAATATGCCAACATACTGATATACTTGTAAATATGACTAGACAATACATGAATATAGCACACATACTAGTAAACTAATACACCAATATACTAGTGTACTCGTGCACCAGTTGTACTAACATATCAAATATACAAGTATACAAGTATACAAATATGTTACTGTTCGAATGCATTAATAATAGATTGATATACTAGTCTGCTACTATACGAAGCTATCAATATACTAACATATCAAAACTAGTTCTAGTATTGATACTAATACTAGCACTTCTGCGAATATAAGCTGCGACTAAACCCAACATTAAGACTGACACTGATACTAGCAGTGGTGCTGTATTACTGACATTGACACTGGCACTAGCGCTAACTCTAACACGAGCATGAGCACTGACACTAATTTATATTTACTAATACTGACATATATACTATCACAGCAAACACTAGCACTAATATTATTACGAATTGGTATATGGGTATATGTTTATGCCAAAACATTAGTACATGAATGCACTAATGTATATATCTGTATCTTAAGATAGTGGTATGTATATTTATGTACATTAGTATATGCAGGTGTCTATTAGTAAAGAGATTAGTATTCATATCAATACGAATATACTATTGGTATTCGTAGGAGTATTAATGTTGATATTAGAATTATGACTATTCATAGTCGTATTAGCCATAATATAAGTGTTCTTGCTGGTAATAGTACTGGCATTCATGAATATTCAACAGATTATCAACATCCGTCTCAGTGTTGGTGATAGCATTATTGTTAACACCACAGGAGTTTATGTATTCGTACTCGTAGGAGTATCAATACTATTGCAAATATTGATGTTAGTATAAATATTGTGATAAGTATTAGTAGTAGTATTAGCGTTAGTACTATAATATTATGAACACACTTGAAGTATGTGTCACGCTTTCCAGGCAACCAGGCAATGACCAGGAAGATTCGAAGCTGCCAGTTTGAGTATTGGCATAGGCACCAAAACATGGCGACAGTGACAGGCAACATGTTGAAGTTTTTGCACAACAACCGGTGATGCCTCCTGAAACATGGAGTGCCAGGTTTTGGATGGAAGAGCGGAGCCCGAAAGTGAAATCAGAATCCGTTTCGGGTTTCGTGGGGATATAACATGTGAGAACAAATTACAACATGTAGAGCTAAGTAGATGCTAGGTGCAGAAAATACCGCGAATACCGATGATTTTGTATGTAGGTGAAGTCATGTAGAAATCGAAGCATGAGCAGCAGGAGGTAGAAAAAAACATGGTATGGATCATGGGGGGGGGGGGGCGTGACCATATATATATATATATATATGTGTGTGTGTGTGTGTATACTATTGCCTATAAACCTTCTATAAAATCCGCTTGTAAAGCCAATGTCCACCCTTGAATTTTTGCGTGTTTGTATGGTAGACTGAGCTAAATTCAAGGACACTGTAAGTTTGTAAAGGCCGAGTTTGAGGCGGAGCAGCTTTTCCGCGAGGCTCTCGAGACGTGCAGCCCGGCAGGAATTAACCACGTGGTGGGCTTCGGATGGAGGCGTTTGGACGAGTTCTGGAGTCTTCCGAAGGCTTGTCCTGGTTTCTGCGAGTGCTTTGGTGTCTTTCAGGTCGGTCTGTCTACGGCCCCGGCCATGACAACACTATCGACCGGTCTCGCTCCTTGGCAAGCGTCCTCAAGGATCCGCTGTTGTAGAGAGCGTAACTGACTAGATTTTCAAGCAGACGATCTACCACTTCTGTCCACCGCTGATTACCATTTACGACGCCACTGTGACCTCGCTGTTCGCAAGCTTCTTTGAAGTGCAAGTTTCCGCTTCCTTGTTGCCCTGCGGTACCGCTTGTGTCCGCAGCTTCCTGATTTCAATAGTAGGTTTTGTGGCAACAGCCACCTACGTGCTGCTATGTGCTCGACTGCTCTTAGCTTGCGCAACAGCGTAATGCACTTCTGCCACAGGCCTAAACATCAAGCTTCGTTGCAAAGGGCCCGCAGCTCCACAGGTCGTGTTATTAGGATTCATTTACTTAACTGTGCGTCTAGCGTGACAGAGCGATGTCAGGCCTGTGACTTTGCCTGCGAGGCTCTCTCATGGTATATTAAAGTACACTATTTTACTGCACTTTACTATACTTTACTATGCTGTGCCAATGCTGTACCGCACTATACTAAGTTATGTTAGCTATGATATACCATACTTCACTATGCTATGCTATATCCCAGACGATGCTGTGCTCTATTCCAGTATCCCCGCGGCCCACGAAGACCCCCTAGCCACCTTCGTGCCGCAGGAGCGGGGTTGTGAGGCCGAGGCGGTGGAGCCTTAGGAGAGGCCGGGGGAGCCACTGTGCACAAAAGAGGGAGATTTCTGGAGGTTGCATGCCAGCTACAAGCGAATGGAGAGCAAGGAAGCATGTGTAGATTGTTGCGGGTCTGCGAATGCCAGAAGCAGACTAGGAAAGGTTTGGGGTGTTTAGCTTTCTTCTGAAACGCCATCTAATTAGCGAAACACCTGTGGCTCTTTGTAGATTGATGTGAGATACCGGTTCAATGTGGTATTCTGCACTGACAGACGCAGGCCTGATATGTCAGTATAATGCTCAGGCTCTTCGATACGCAGGTGCCGGTTTGAAGACGCGACGCACATCTTTGGAGAAGTCCACGTGACGGAGCGGGATGAGCCTTCCAGTACTCAAGGTCCACTTCTGATGTTTCCATGGAGGTCACACACACATACCAGTACGAATGTCTGTGCTACGGCTGAGAATCTAGGCCCTGGGTGCGGTTCCTGAAGCGATCCAGTGTGGCTGATCAAAAATGCTGGTGTAGGTCCCTTCATGGAGATGCCAGCAAGCCAGCGGCGGGTACCCGTGGTGCGAATGTTGTAGTTTAGTCAGTTTGGATTTCTCACAGCATATTCTGTACGACGGATGTTGGTTGCTGTTGGGCTGCTTCCGCTGGTGAGTCGCGGGTGCTCGTGTCATCGGTCTTCTTCTTCTTGCTGCTGCTGCTCCGGCGCTGCTATAGCACTACAGCAGCAACTGTACCACCACTACCACTAACGCTTCCACTACCATTAACACTGCTGCTACCACAACCACTGGCACACTCAGAAGCCTGGTAGAAGTGAGATATGGGGGCTGCATAGGCTGCAGTTCTCAAGTCCGTGTTATTACGATTGTTGATGCCTGCTGCCACCTCGAATAAGACTGCTGCTTATGCTGCTGCTGCATTTACAGGCCGGTGTTGTCAGAGAAAGAAAGATGCAGCTGCGGGTTCCATAAAATTCAGGTGGCCAGGCGGTGTCCAAGCTTGGTGCACTTCCAGTGGTGCAGGCGGCAGTGCCAGCAGAAAGCTGTTTTGACTGGTAATCAGAACTATTCCGAAACCAGCAAAGCAATTCAGCAATGGAGCAAAACACAGCAGCCATGGACATCAAATGCCGCCGTTCTGGATCAGAATCAACAGCTGCACGCTTCCAGGGCACCCAAAAGACTCACACACTCCGTTGTCATGGCTGACATCCTGGCGAGGAAGAAAGCGGCTGAGAGCTTTCTAGCGGGACTCGACACGGTGTGGCATGCAAACCGTCTCTCTTTCGCACCTTACACGGACGACGCAAAGTTGTCCAACAACCAGATTGCCAACTGCGAGCATGTGAAGGAAATCTTCAAGGACACCCGCGTCTTTCAGAAGGAGGCTGACTTTCACCTGCACGTTTGCAAGCGTGCTCTCGATGCGGTGAGTAACCATCCTGTCCTCTTTGCAGGAAAGTGGCGCCAAGGCAAGTCTGCCTTGGTCTCATCGCTCCTCTATGAGGCGAAGAAAGGGCAGGGCGTCCACTCCGTCGACGACGTGCAAGAGAATCGACCAAGCAGCAAAGCGAAAGCACAGACAGAGTCAACAAATCAGAAACAACCCCAATCCGGTCGGTATGCACGGACCACGAACAAAGTCGATCTCTTCGAAGTGAAATTCGATGACGTCGGCACGATTTGGCTGGCAGACACGCCTGGGCTAGAGCCAGATGAAAAGCATGATATTATGCAGGGCCTCCGTGAGGAGCTCAAGAAGCGTCAGCGCAGCGAGCATGTGTTCACCGACGTCATTGTTCTTGTGATTGCTGGCCATTCCGAAGGTCTGTCAGGTCTGTCGTCGACCGAGTTTATGGACTGGCTGAAGGACACCTACTCAAAAGCACGAGAGTCTGCAAGCATGCGCTGTGTCATCTTGCCAGTGCTCACTCATGGGGACACGATGGACATGGACGAGATTGCCTCAGATCTTAGCCAAGTGAAGAGCAGGCTGTCTGAGGTTGCAGCCAAGCACAAGGGCAGCAAGGCGGTATCATGTGGGGATACCCAGGCAGAGATTCTCGACCCCTTGATTGTGACGAACTATGCGTGGTACTCTTCGGGCGAGGTGAAGAGGGAGGGCAAGAATGTGGATTCGATTCTTCGAGAGATCCACGACCAGGTGCTTCATCAAAGCAGTACGCGTGGCTTCTTCTTGCAGTGGTCCCAGTTCTTGACAGAGGATCTTCAGAGGATGGTGGTGCAGTTCCAAGCAAAGCATGAGGACGAAGAGACCGAGCGACGCCTTTTCCATCGCACCTTGGCTGCCATCCTTGCCACCTACAACCAGCAGGCATTCAACATGGAGTCTGCCTTTCCGAAGCCAGCCTGGAACCTCCTTCCAACCTTGGAGCGCCAACTTCGGGGAGAGGAGTCGCAGCAGGAGCGCTGGCAAAGGTATGTCGTGGCAAGGATGCCAACTACGCCAAGTGCATTGCTCCCCTTGAGTGCTCTGGTAGTGTGTGGCCCAGCAGCGTGGAGGTACGGGCCTCGCGTGATGTCCAGAATTCAGAAACTCTGCAAGGGGGTGTTCTTCGGCTCCCCGTAAGGGGCGCCAGAGTAAACCCAGGAAGAGTGCTCGTAGCTCCAAGTTTTCCGGCCGAGTGCTTTCAAGCGGCCGCCGCTTGAGCGCAGGCTCGCCAGAGTGTTGTTGGCCAATTTCGGATTTCCCATATTTCCCAAAGATTGTAGCCCGGTGTGACGTTGCAAGCAACTCAGGCGGCTTCCCCGGCTTTTGGCCAGTTCTCTCCAATTTTTCAGGCTCTGAGTGTGGGCAACCGTGCATCACTTTGCAAGACACGTGAAGAATGGCTATGACAAAACGCTGCCTAGGATGCCTCATGGGTTCTTGGACATCGAATACAGGTGCATGCTGAACAGTGTGCTGCTTGAGGAAGTGCGTCTTCTGAAAATGAGAGGCTTGAAGGTTTCGTTGCTGCATCAGTGCCCTCCAACCTTGTCGGTTGTTTGGAGAGCTTGCCGTGTGAGGCAGGCGGCCTTCACACAGGACGACATCGTCCCGTGATTGGCTGGCAAATGCAGGCTTGCGTGCTTCCGAAACCTGTGATGTGCACAGCTGGCATAGCAGGTCGCAGTGCTTCTAGAGAGAAGGTTTGAGCTTTCAGGAGCACGTTTAAAAATCTGCAATTTCGAAGCAGAGCATCAAATGCCGCCGTTCTGGATCAGAATCAACAGCTGCACGCTTCCAGGGCACCCAAAAGACTCACACACTCCGTTGCCATGACTGACATCCTGGCGAGGAAGAAAGCGGCTGAGAGCTTTCTAGCGGGACTCGACACGGTGTGGCATGCAAACCGTCTCTCTTTCGCACCTTACACGGACGACGCAAAGTTGTCCAACAACCAGATTGCCAACTGCGAGCATGTGAAGGAAATCTTCAAGGACACCCGCGTCTTTCAGAAGGAGGCTGACTTTCACCTGCACGTTTGCAAGCGTGCTCTCGATGCGGTGAGTAACCATCCTGTCCTCTTTGCAGGAAAGTGGCGCTAAGGCAAGTCTGCCTTGGTCTCATCGCTCCTCTATGAGGCGAAGAAAGGGCAGGGCGTGCACTCCGTCGACGACGTGGAAGAGAATCGACCAAGCAGCAAAGCGAAAGCACAGACAGAGTCAACAAATCAGAAACAACCCCAATCCGGTCGGTATGCACGGACCACGAACAAAGTCGATCTCTTCGAAGTGAAATTCGATGACGTCGGCACGATTTGGCTGGCAGACACGCCTGGGCTAGAGCCAGATGAAAAGCATGATATCATGCAGGGCCTCCGTGAGGAGCTCAAGAAGCGTCAGCGCAGCGAGCATGTGTTCACCGACGTCATTGTTCTTGTGATTGCTGGCCATTCCGAAGGTCTGTCAGGTCTGTCGTCGACCGAGTTTATGGACTGGCTGCAGGACACCTACTCAAAAGCGCGAGAGTCTGCAAGCATGCGCTGTGTCATCTTGCCGGTGGTCACTCATGGGGATACGATGGACATGGACGAGATTGCCTCAGATCTTAGCCAAGTGAAGAGCAGGCTGTCTGAGGTTGCAGCCAAGCACAAGGGCAGCAAGGCGGTATCATGTGGGGATACCCAGGCAGAGATTCTCGACCCCTTGATTGTGACGAACTATGCGTGGTACTCTTCGGGCGAGGTGAAGAGGGAGGGCAAGAATGTGGATTCGATTCTTCGAGAGATCCACGACCAGGTGCTTCATCAAAGCAGTACGCGTGGCTTCTTCTTGCAGTGGTCCCAGTTCTTGACAGAGGATCTTCAGAGGATGGTGGTGCAGTTCCAAGCAAAGCATGAGGACGAAGAGACCGAGCGACGCCTTTTCCATCGCACCTTGGCTGCCATCCTTGCCACCTACAACCAGCAGGCATTCAACATGGAGTCTGCCTTTCCGAAGCCAGCCTGGAACCTCCTTCCAACCTTGGAGCGCCAACTTCGGGGAGAGGAGTCGCAGCAGGAGCGCTGGCAAAGGTATGTCGTGGCAAGGATGCCAACTACGCCAAGTGCATTGCTCCCCTTGAGTGCTCTGGTAGTGTGTGGCCCAGCAGCGTGGAGGTACGGGCCTCGCGTGATGTCCAGAATTCAGAAACTCTGCAAGGGGGTGTTCTTCGGCTCCCCGTAAGGGGCGCCAGAGTAAACCCAGGAAGAGTGCTCGTAGCTCCAAGTTTTCCGGCCGAGTGCTTTCAAGCGGCCGCCGCTTGAGCGCAGGCTCGCCAGAGTGTTGTTGGCCAATTTCGGATTTCCCATATTTCCCAAAGATTGTAGCCCGGTGTGACGTTGCAAGCAACTCAGGCGGCTTCCCCGGCTTTTGGCCAGTTCTCTCCAATTTTTCAGGCTCTGAGTGTGGGCAACCGTGCATCACTTTGCAAGACACGTGAAGAATGGCTATGACAAAACGCTGCCTAGGATGCCTCATGGGTTCTTGGACATCGAATACAGGTGCATGCTGAACAGTGTGCTGCTTGAGGAAGTGCGTCTTCTGAAAATGAGAGGCTTGAAGGTTTCGTTGCTGCATCAGTGCCCTCCAACCTTGTCGGTTGTTTGGAGAGCTTGCCGTGTGAGGCAGGCGGCCTTCACACAGGACGACATCGTCCCGTGATTGGCTGGCAAATGCAGGCTTGCGTGCTTCCGAAACCTGTGATGTGCACAGCTGGCATAGCAGGTCGCAGTGCTTCTAGAGAGAAGGTTTGAGCTTTCAGGAGCACGTTTAAAAATCTGCAATTTCGAAGCAGAGCATCAAATGCCGCCGTTCTGGATCAGAATCAACAGCTGCACGCTTCCAGGGCACCCAAAAGACTCACACACTCCGTTGCCATGACTGACATCCTGGCGAGGAAGAAAGCGGCTGAGAGCTTTCTAGCGGGACTCGACACGGTGTGGCATGCAAACCGTCTCTCTTTCGCACCTTACACGGACGACGCAAAGTTGTCCAACAACCAGATTGCCAACTGCGAGCATGTGAAGGAAATCTTCAAGGACACCCGCGTCTTTCAGAAGGAGGCTGACTTTCACCTGCACGTTTGCAAGCGTGCTCTCGATGCGGTGAGTAACCATCCTGTCCTCTTTGCAGGAAAGTGGCGCTAAGGCAAGTCTGCCTTGGTCTCATCGCTCCTCTATGAGGCGAAGAAAGGGCAGGGCGTGCACTCCGTCGACGACGTGGAAGAGAATCGACCAAGCAGCAAAGCGAAAGCACAGACAGAGTCAACAAATCAGAAACAACCCCAATCCGGTCGGTATGCACGGACCACGAACAAAGTCGATCTCTTCGAAGTGAAATTCGATGACGTCGGCACGATTTGGCTGGCAGACACGCCTGGGCTAGAGCCAGATGAAAAGCATGATATCATGCAGGGCCTCCGTGAGGAGCTCAAGAAGCGTCAGCGCAGCGAGCATGTGTTCACCGACGTCATTGTTCTTGTGATTGCTGGCCATTCCGAAGGTCTGTCAGGTCTGTCGTCGACCGAGTTTATGGACTGGCTGAAGGACACCTACTCAAAAGCACGAGAGTCTGCAAGCATGCGCTGTGTCATCTTGCCAGTGCTCACTCATGGGGACACGATGGACATGGACGAGATTGCCTCAGATCTTAGCCAAGTGAAGAGCAGGCTGTCTGAGGTTGCAGCCAAGCACAAGGGCAGCAAGGCGGTGTCATGTGGGGATACCCAGGCAGAGATTCTCGACCCCTTGATTGTGACGAACTATGCATGGTACTCTTCGGGCGAGGTGAAGAGGGAGGGCAAGAATGTGGATTCGATTCTTCGAGAGATCCACGACCAGGTGCTTCATCAAAGCAGTACGCGTGGCTTCTTCTTGCAGTGGTCCCAGTTTTTGACAGAGGATCTTCAGAGAATGGTGGTGCAGTTCCAAGCAAAGCATGAGGACGAAGAGACCGAGCGACGCCTTTTCCATCGCACCTTGGCTGCCATCCTTGCCACCTACAACCAGCAGGCATTCAACATGGAGTCTGCCTTTCCGAAGCCAGCCTGGAACCTCCTTCCAACCTTGGAGCGCCAACTTCGGGGAGAGGAGTCGCAGCAGGAGCGCTGGCAAAGGTATGTCGTGGCAAGGATGCCAACTACGCCAAGTGCATTGCTCCCCTTGAGTGCTCTGGTAGTGTGCGGCCCAGCAGCGTGGAGGTACGGGCCTCGAGTGATGTCCAGAATTCAGAAACTCTGCAAGGGGGTGTTCTTCGGCTCCCCGTAAGGGGCGCCAGAGCAAACCCAGGAAGAGTGCTCGTAGCTCCAAGTTTTTCGGCCGGGTGCTTTCAAGCGGCCGCCGCTTGAGTGCAGGCTCGCCAGAGTGTTGTTGGCCAATTTCGGATTTCCCATATTTCCCAAAGATTGTAGCCCGGTGTGACGTTGGAAGCAACTCAGGCGGCTTCCCCGGCTTTTGGCCAGTTCTCGACAATTTTTCAGGCTATGAGTGTGGGCAACCGTGCATCACTTTGCAAGACACGTGAAGAATGGCTATGACAAAAGTATCGATGCTTCAACCAGTCGCTGCCTAGGATGCCTCATGGGTTCTTGGACATCGAATACAGGTGCATGCTGAACAGTGTGCTGCTTGAGACAGCAGGCCAGCCTCAGGGTGGGCTGCCTACAACTGAGTGGTCGGCAATAGCATGCACTCGATAGTGTCCAGGCCAACCCAGACTGTGAAACTCCCACAGACTTTTGGTCTCGTTGCTCTTGATCGCAGGGGACGGATTGACGTCTTGACACCTGCCAGGCCATGTCGCGTGTTGCGCAGACGGAGAGGAGTCCAGATCTTATGCTTCGTCTGAGGTGCGAGCCTTTGGAAGTTGAAGCTTGGTGGTAATTGATCAGGGAAGCGTGGCTTGTGCCGTCCACTCTGACACAGGTTTGGCTAGGCAGGATTCAACGGTGTTGCACTGATCCTACTACCTGTGAAGAACCACCATTCAATGCCGCGGTTCTGCCTGCATGGCTGTGTTTTTCAGTATTTTACTTGACTTGAATGCTTACGATCGCTGGTAATTACAGGCATTGTGCCGACAGTGCAGATGCTACCACCACCACCACCACCACCACCAACGATCATTGCCACTACCACTACCACCACCAGTCCACCACTGCCACCAAAGGTAGCCCTACAGCGACGACTGTTTGCCACCGCCGTTGATTTTGCGCAGGACGCCACTGGGCTTGGCTGAGGCACTGATCCTGCTGCAGTCGCATGGCCTGCAAGTTGTGCAATCGCTTAGGGTCGCTCCGGCTGGCAATGATTTCACAGTTATAGGCTCTGGTTAGGTAACCAGGAGAAGTGGTGTCTGATTCCGTGACGGAGATATCGGACAGGTCGCCCAGACTGAACTGTCCTGCGAGGGAGGAGCAGGGAGGAGCAAATGAGCGAAGTTTCAGTGTTCTGGCAGAAGTGCGTGTAAGATTCCGACAGTTTTCGTTCTGGGATGCCTTCCGCGCGCCTCGGAGTATGCATTGAGGTTATCGTCGGGAGAGCTCAAAATCACCGCCACTTGGACAGCAGAACGTGGTTTACTAGTAGTTAATTTACAATGCTCTTCGGCAACATGGAGGTGTGAATACGCGGATTTCTGGCATCTGCGATGAGCTATAAAGCGCCTTGTCGTCCATGTAGCTCCTGCTTTGTGATGTCACAGCGTGTTTCTGGGAACTTCGATCGGCAATGTGGCCCCGATGACCCAGAAGCGCCTGTAGGCCGTTTTGCCAGAAGCTTCAGTAGCTGGTAGGGATTAGCCGGGTGGCCAAAGCGGTGGGGATGATGTGCCCACAAATTCTGCGCGCAGACTCCGTCGAAGCTGCAGTCTTAAGAAGCCTTGCCAATCCCAGAGCTGCTGCAGAAGCCAATGGGCTCGAGGCATTTCTACTCGCTGCAGCGGGTGCCAGTGAGACGGGCCCAGCCCTGGCCATGGTTGGCAGCGAGGTCTGGTCCCTGCCGGGAACTCTAGACTCGAACTGCAGCCTGCGAGGACGACGAGGAAGCGCTGGGCGCACTTCTGGTTCTGAAGGCCGAGACAGAGTAGTGTGAGCTGCCACTTGCGCATCGTTGCAGACAGCTGGATCTTGAGAATGGATGCATCTACGAATGAATGTCTGTTTGACCGTACATGATGCTTGCCTGCATATGCATATCGCGGACTTAATGCCTTGATATGCTTTGAATCTGATAATCCGCCTATATGGCAACCGCACATACACAGAGACAGATTCAGGCAGAAAGAAGTGGGCAAGCTGCACCGTGCCGTACAAAGGTCTCCGCGCAGTCTCAGAGACATTACCTCGAGCTGTTTTTTGCATGCATGCGTGGTGTTTCAACAAACCGTTCGCAAAGCAAGGGAAGCATAGCGTGAGCCGAGCTTCGGATTATGGCAGTAGGGACAAATCGAGAGCTGCCTTCTATCACATTCGTCCTAAACATGTGCCCCAGGTACTATATGGGCCTCAATAATCAAAATGGGGTCTTGGGGAGCCATTATATTATAATGATAATGAGGAAAACCCAAAATAGTGTGGTAATTCTTAGGCTTCTACAAGTAGTGCCTTGCTGGTTTGCTGGTGCACTCGTACTTGCAAGTTTGCAGCTTGGCGTTCTCCCGGTTGGCTCTTATATAGGACTTTAACGTTTTGGGACTTCTTTGTGAACCATCATAAGGATGCCAAACGTGTAAGTTTTTGGAGGGGTTCAGAAGTCAGCCAAGGCAATGTCCAAAACTGGAGCCCTCAGGCTTGCCTTCGTCCTTGTGTTTCGGACAGTTCGTCCTGCAGCTAATGTAGGGGCCTGAAAAAGAAGAATAGGGTTCTGGGGCCCATTATACCATACTATAATCAAAATAACGAGCCATCCAAATAGTATAGGTAATGATTGAGGCCCCTTTTTTACCAATTCCTGCCGGGTCTTCCGTCACCTTCAGCATTACGGCCACTGCAGGCTCTCCACGCCGAAGATGAAGCGCAGCGCGTCCCCTGAGGCGTGCACAATGCTACCCAAAGCAAACAACTGCAATGTAGCAAACAACTGAGGCAGTCGATGCACGTCAAGCCCTGAATTTGCCCATAGGCTCCATAGTAGTTCCTCTTTAGGATTACCTTATAGGGTTCTGAATATGAACCCCCAAAAGGAACTACTATGGAGCCTCTAGGTTGGCATCTTTTCCAACACCCTGGAGATGGCAGGCCCGAGACCATGCGCACCACTCTTGCCTGTGGCAAGTTCCCGTGAAGGCCTCAAGGCCTCCGAACTTCGGTTGGGCTCAGACATGCCGCCCTCAGTAATATAACAGCTGAGCCGGCTTGAGGCTGCTGTGCAATTTTTGGGCCGTGGCGGCTCGGCTTGGGCAGGCACTCTGACTGCACCAAAGCTCGCTCTGAAGCGGCCAGCACCCGATGTTCCGAACCTTCCTTTGGTTGGAACCCCTATCCCCCTCCCTCCCTCCCTCCCTCCCTCCCTCCCTCTCTCTCGCTCTCTCTCTCTCTCTCTCTCTCTCTCTCTCTCCCTCTTTCTCTGGGATTCTGTCACCAAAGCATCTCAGTCTGCCGAGTACAGTATCATCCGATCCTTGAGCTTGGCCTTGTGTGAAATGCGAAATGGAATCAGCGAAGTGTCCTCGCCCGTTTGGATCGTGACACACAGACGCACAGGTGACGCTGAATGCGAGGCAATGGGTCGGCGATGCGGGGATCTTACCGTTTTGTCCCATGTTCATGCTGTCCCCTCCGATGCAGGTGCAAGCCCAGCTCCGCAGTCAGCAACTCGCAGCGTCCGGGTGAGGTGCTCGTCAGTGTCTTGATAGCAATTAGCATCCAGAGCCTGGCTATACGGCTATTAATAAGGTGTAACTGCAAGCGCAATTCTTAACCCAACACAAGACCATGCATCCTGCAAAAACCTAAGCATCAGTGATCGAAACGGATCTCCGTTCACTCCTTGCAGCGGCCCATTAGTTTCATCAGTGCTGAGGGTCGACACCGCGCCCAGCAGAGTTGGAAGCAATAGCCGTCAGGTGCGCTTATTTGCGGAGCTGAGTCATGCCGTGTTTGTGGACGGTGCTTTCCTGTCACCCTTGATACTGCCCAGCCCAGGTTGCCGTTGTTTGCAAGAGAGCCTTTGCGTCCACTGCTAGACTTCGACATGCTGCGACAGGCTCTTTCCGATCTTAGTACTAGTAGTTGAAGCAAGGGAGTCGTAGAGCGTATACGGGTCCATGCGAAGGTGTGTGCGTGTCTGTGTGTATGCTATACAACAAAAAGCAACATGGCAGGTGCCTCAATCTTCTCAAGGGCCGATGGCTGCTTGGCGGCTCATTGGCCATCGTCGGTCCTTGTCTGGGCTGCCTGGTGTATCCGCGGAGCCAAGAGATCCCCAAACAGAACCGGACTGGTGTTCGAACTTCCCAGATAGCTGGAAGGTGATTGGCAGCTAGCAGCTAGTGTTAGCTGCTTAGCTGTTAGCCGCAGCCAAGTATGTGTCACATCAACCAGGTCTTTGGGCACAGCCCCGACACCAGAGCTTCAGAGACTTCCAGAATTCAAGAGCCCCTGGAGAATTGTCGACAGACCATGCATTTTAGCCGACACGTCGCTGCGAGGGCCAGAGCTGAATTCGAAGCTGACTGCAGGGCCGAAAAACCGGCAAGCTGAGGTCCTTCTTCGAGCTTTGGGAGCGCCTGCTGCCCCAAGAGGCCGCTCAGGGCTGCTTGCACTTCGTCGATGCCAACTGCACTAGCATGCACGTCCAAAGCCGGCAGTGTTTTGAGGTAGTGCGGCCACTTCGCCAGCGCAAAGGCGCAGTCACCAATCGAGACCTTGCTGAGACAATCTGAGACATCAGTGCTGTGTGAGGAAGGGGAAAGGCACAAGAACTTGTCCGGGACACCCTGTCCAGTCTCCCTTAGACTCTTACGCCTCTTTTGACTCTTCCGCACCTGCATCCAGATGTTTGGTTGATGATGTAGGCCCTCGTTCCGGCAAGAGTGGATATCTTTGTTCGCTGATACCCCTTGATGTAGGGTCTGAGATTCAGCACTCCGGATGTTCGAGCATGCTGCGCCGTCTATCCTGGAGCGTGCAGGGGACAAGAACCCTGAGATGCCTACTTTAAGTAGGCAATTCCGACGGCCTCGGCCGACCGGCAGGCTAGGAAGTGCGTTTTCTGAAAGCGAGAGGCTTGAAGGTTTCGTTGCTCCATCAGTGCCCTGCAACCTTGTCGGTTGTTTGGAGAGCTTGCCGTGTGAAGCAGGCGGCCTTCGCACAGAACGACATCGTCCTGTGGTTGGCCTGCAAATGCAGGCTTGCGTGCTTCCGACACCTGTCATGTGCACAGCTGGCATAGCAGGTCGCAGGGGAGAAGGTTTGAGCTTTCAGGAGCACCAGTAAACACCTGCATTCGAAGCAGAGCATCAAATGCCGCCGTTCTGGATCAGAATCAACAGCTGCACGCTTCCAGGGCACCCAAAAGATTCACACACTCCGTTGCCATGACTGACATCCTGGCGAGGAAGAAAGCGGCTGAGAGCTTTCTAGCGGGACTCGACACGGTGTGGCATGCAAACCGTCTCTCTTTCGCACCTTACACGGACGACGCAAAGTTGTCCAACAACCAGATTGCCAACTGCGAGCATGTGAAGGAAATCTTCAAGGACACCCGCGTCTTTCAGAAGGAGGCTGACTTTCACCTGCACGTTTGCAAGCGTGCTCTCGATGCGGTGAGTAACCATCCTGTCCTCTTTGCAGGAAAGTGGCGCCAAGGCAAGTCTGCCTTGGTCTCATCGCTCCTCTATGAGGCGAAGAAAGGGCAGGGCGTCCACTCCGTCGACGACGTGGAAGAGAATCGACCAAGCAGCAAAGCGAAAGCACAGACAGAGTCAACAAATCAGAAACAACCCCAATCCGGTCGGTATGCACGGACCACGAACAAAGTCGATCTCTTCGAAGTGAAGTTCGATGACGTCGGCACGATTTGGCTGGCAGACACGCCTGGGCTAGAGCCAGATGAAAAGCATGATATTATGCAGGGCCTCCGTGAGGAGCTCAAGAAGCGTCAGCGCAGCGAGCATGTGTTCACCGACGTCATTGTTCTTGTGATTGCTGGCCATTCCGAAGGTCTGTCAGGTCTGTCGTCGACCGAGTTTATGGACTGGCTGCAGGACACCTACTCAAAAGCGCGAGAGTCTGCAAGCATGCGCTGTGTCATCTTGCCGGTGGTCACTCATGGGGATACGATGGACATGGACGAGATTGCCTCAGATCTTAGCCAAGTGAAGAGCAGGCTGTCTGAGGTTGCAGCCAAGCACAAGGGCAGCAAGGCGGTATCATGTGGGGATACCCAGGCAGAGATTCTCGACCCCTTGATTGTGACGAACTATGCATGGTACTCTTCGGGCAAGGTGAAGAGGGAGGGCAAGAATGTGGATTCGATTCTTCGAGAGATCCACGACCAGGTGCTTCATCAAAGCAGTACGCGTGGCTTCTTCTTGCAGTGGTCCCAGTTCTTGACAGAGGATCTTCAGAGGATGGTGGTGCAGTTCCAAGCAAAGCATGAGGACGAAGAGACCGAGCGACGCCTTTTCCATCGCACCTTGGCTGCCATCCTTGCCACCTACAACCAGCAGGCATTCAACATGGAGTCTGCCTTTCCGAAGCCAGCCTGGAACCTCCTTCCAACCTTGGAGCGCCAACTTCGGGGAGAGGAGTCGCAGCAGGAGCGCTGGCAAAGGTATGTCGTGGCAAGGATGCCAACTACGCCAAGTGCATTGCTCCCCTTGAGTGCTCTGGTAGTGTGCGGCCCAGCAGCGTGGAGGTACGGGCCTCGTGTGATGTCCAGAATTCAGAAACTCTGCAAGGGGGTGTTCTACGGCTCCCCGTAAGGGGCGCCAGAGCAAACCCAGGAAGAGTGCTCGTAGCTCCAAGTTTTCCGGCCGGGTGCTTTCAAGCGGCCGCCGCTTGAGCGCAGGCTCGCCAGAGTGTTGTTGGCCAATTTCGGATTTCCCATATTTCCCAAAGATTGTAGCCCGGTGTGACGTTGCAAGCAACTCAGGCGGCTTCCCCGGCTTTTGGCCAGTTCTCTCTAATTTTTCAGGCTATGAGTGTGGACAACCGCGCATCACTTTGCAAGACACGTGAAGAAGGATGGCTATGACAAAAGTATCGATGCCTCAACCAGTCGCTGCCTAGGATGCCTCATGGGTTCTTGGACATCGAATACAGGTGCATGCTGAACAGTGTGCTGCTTGAGGAAGTGCGTCTTCTGAAAGTGAGAGGCTTGAAGGTTTCGTTGCTGCATCAGTGCCCTCCAACCTTGTCGGTTGTTTGGAGAGCTTGCCGTGTGAGGCAGGCGGCCTTCGCACAGGACGACATCGTCCCGTGGTTGGGTGATAAATGCAGGCTTGCGTGCTTCCGACACCTGTCATGTCCACAGTTGGCATAGCAGGTCGCAGTGCTTCTAGGGAGAAGGTTTGAGCTTTCAGGAGCACGAGTAAAAATCTGCAATTTCGAAGCAGAGCATCAAATGCCGCCGTTCTGGATCAGAATCAACATCTGCACGCTTCCAGGGCACCCAAAAGACTCACACACTCCGTTGCCATGACTGACATCCTGGCGAGGAAGAAAGCGGCTGAGAGCTTTCTAGCGGGACTCGACACGGTGTGGCATGCAAACCGTCTCTCTTTCGCACCTTACACGGACGACGCAAAGTTGTCCAACAACCAGATTGCCAACTGCGAGCATGTGAAGGAAATCTTCAAGGACACCCGCGTCTTTCAGAAGGAGGCTGACTTTCACCTGCACGTTTGCAAGCGTGCTCTCGATGCGGTGAGTAACCATCCTGTCCTCTTTGCAGGAAAGTGGCGCCAAGGCAAGTCTGCCTTGGTCTCATCGCTCCTCTATGAGGCGAAGAAAGAGCAGGGCGTCCACTCCGTCGACGACGTGGAAGAGAATCGACCAAGCAGCAAAGCGAAAGCACAGACAGAGTCAACAAATCAGAAACAACCCCAATCCGGTCGGTATGCACGGACCACGAACAAAGTCGATCTCTTCGAAGTGAAGTTCGATGACGTCGGCACGATTTGGCTGGCAGACACGCCTGGGCTAGAGCCAGATGAAAAGCATGATATTATGCAGGGCCTCCGTGAGGAGCTCAAGAAGCGTCAGCGCAGCGAGCATGTGTTCACCGACGTCATTGTTCTTGTGATTGCTGGCCATTCCGAAGGTCTGTCAGGTCTGTCGTCGACCGAGTTTATGGACTGGCTGCAGGACACCTACTCAAAAGCGCGAGAGTCTGCAAGCATGCGCTGTGTCATCTTGCCGGTGGTCACTCATGGGGATACGATGGACATGGACGAGATTGCCTCAGATCTTAGCCAAGTGAAGAGCAGGCTGTCTGAGGTTGCAGCCAAGCACAAGGGCAGCAAGGCGGTGTCATGTGGGGATGCTCAGGCAGAGATTCTCGACCCCTTGATTGTGACGAACTATGCATGGTACTCTTCGGGCAAGGTGAAGAGGGAGGGCAGGAATGTGGATTCGATTCTTCGAGAGATCCACGACCAGGTGCTTCATCAAAGCAGTACGCGTGGCTTCTTCTTGCAGTGGTCCCAGTTCTTGACAGAGGATCTTCAGAGGATGGTGGTGCAGTTCCAAGCAAAGCATGAGGACGAAGAGACCGAGCGACGCCTTTTCCATCGCACCTTGGCTGCCATCCTTGCCACCTACAACCAGCAGGCATTCAACATGGAGTCTGCCTTTCCGAAGCCAGCCTGGAACCTCCTTCCAACCTTGGAGCGCCAACTTCGGGGAGAGGAGTCGCAGCAGGAGCGCTGGCAAAGGTATGTCGTGGCAAGGATGCCAACTACGCCAAGTGCATTGCTCCCCTTGAGTGCTCTGGTAGTGTGCGGCCCAGCAGCGTGGAGGTACGGGCCTCGTGTGATGTCCAGAATTCAGAAACTCTGCAAGGGGGTGTTCTACGGCTCCCCGTAAGGGGCGCCAGAGCAAACCCAGGAAGAGTGCTCGTAGCTCCAAGTTTTCCGGCCGGGTGCTTTCAAGCGGCCGCCGCTTGAGCGCAGGCTCGCCAGAGTGTTGTTGGCCAATTTCGGATTTCCCATATTTCCCAAAGATTGTAGCCCGGTGTGACGTTGCAAGCAACTCAGGCGGCTTCCCCGGCTTTTGGCCAGTTCTCTCTAATTTTTCAGGCTATGAGTGTGGACAACCGCGCATCACTTTGCAAGAGACGTGAAGAAGGATGGCTATGACAAAAGTATCGATGCCTCAACCAGTCGCTGCCTAGGATGCCTCATGGGTTCTTGGACATCGAATACAGGTGCATGCTGAACAGTGTGCTGCTTGAGGAAGTGCGTCTTCTGAAAGTGAGAGGCTTGAAGGTTTCGTTGCTGCATCAGTGCCCTCCAACCTTGTCGGTTGTTTGGAGAGCTTGCCGTGTGAGGCAGGCGGCCTTCGCACAGGACGACATCGTCCCGTGGTTGGGTGATAAATGCAGGCTTGCGTGCTTCCGACACCTGTCATGTCCACAGTTGGCATAGCACAGTACATCGAGCCTGCCTGCGGCCCACGAAGCTTCTCGCAAATGACTATCGTTACTTTGTACAAAGCAAGGTTTGCCCGAGACAACCCGTTGTGTGAAGTTGCGGCTGGTCATCAGAAGATGCGTCATCCAAGCCATGTCCTCTGGCCCAGCAGGCAGCATCCTGTCTCAAAAAGGTGTTCGACTTGGGACTTGCAGTGCAGGATTACCCAGAACCTGCATGTCCTAGCAAATTTGCGTCAGATTTTGCTCAGGCCTTTCTGCAACAACGCGGTGGTAGATCAGAACGCAAGGAGCATGTGATTGTACCAGCATCACGAGGTCTTTGAGAAAAAGCGTGCTTCAGAGTGGTTGCCATTGGCAGCATGGACGGAGTTCTGTTAAGTCTGTTTCAGGTGCAGGCCGAAAGTTGCTCTCCGTGGACATCAACTGGGCGATGAGACTGACCAGCAGGCAGAGTCTCGACGGGAGATTGCAAACTTGCGATTCCTGTCGTGGATGCTGATCAGGTCATGCGTGTTGGTGTTAGTTGGAGGTGGTTGCGTCACGTACAGTAGCAACATGTGTGACATTTCCCTTCGCAGTTTCATCGTGACAAATTCGTAGCATAGCGTCGGAATGTGCAGCCGAGCGGCATGATGAGGTTTTACATTGAGGCAGCGTTTCTGCCATGTTTGCAGTGCTTTGGCTCGAGGACTACATAACTTCAGCAGCTTCGCCTCTCACGCTCCCACATCAATGTAGCATTCCACAGCCGATCAAAGGGTATCGGTCCTACCTCTTGTTGTTCACAGGCTTCGTCGATTTCGAGTCTCTGGCACCGCAGCACGCAGAGTCCGAAGGCACTGACTCGGCAAGGATGGCTGCATGGAAGCTTTTGCTTGCTACACATCGAAGCTCACGCGCAAGAGATCCCAAGCCGATGCTTGATTGCCGAGAAGGGCAGATCTGTGCCTGCACTGAGCGAGGTGGTCTGTCTGGTATGCACGTTGCCATCGAACAAAGGGGAAGTGTGGTCAGGACTACCTACCTTGGAAGTGGAGCCAGGGGCAATGGGGCAAATGCTCCCACATGTCCACCTGTACAACACCTTTCAGAGCATGAAACCACCTTCGCTGTACATGCAGGTGCCAGCCACATCCCTGATGAACTCCGAGCACGAGATCATCTTCAAGATTCCGCTGATGGCTGAAAGCAGTGGCAATGTCTGTGAATCGTGTCCTTCGGACGCGACACGGTTGTGGAAGAGAAAGGGGATACGTCCATGACCGCTACACGACGTGGGTCCGGTCCCACGGCTTCCATGAGAATTGAGGAGCAGGGTCCTGGTGTCAACTTGGGTTTGTCACTGGAATATCTCTACTCAGAAGCATCAAACCAAACAGGGCACTTCGACATTCCAGTGATGACGCCCATGATGACCATCAGTAAGCAAGAGATGTTCCATGTGCTCTCCACGCGAACCGTGCCAGGCCACCCAGTGAGCCTCGACTTGTCGCTCATGCAGAAGAAGAAGAGCAAAGGCTGCAGTGGCGGCGATGTGGCCTTGCTTGCTGCTGGTAGTGCTGCGGTTGTTGGGAGCGGGGCTTGCTGCTTCTTCACAGCTGGCCTTTGTTGCTTTCTGGTCCCGAGTATGGTTGCTGGTGGTACAGCAATGATTGCAGGAGGTGCCTGCAATTGCAACGGCGACGACTCGAAGAGCAGTGGATGCAGTGTCGGACGAGAGGCTGCGAGATGAAGATGGCGAAGCCAATTGAACACCACTCATGAGAGCAGCTTCGCGCCTGACAAGGTGCTCGAGCGCTAAGTTTTTCCATAGTTTCTTTTCAGAGATCGTCAGGTTTTGCAAAAAGCCATGGCTTTCTTTTTGTCTCCGTTGGAGGGGTTTCTTCCCTGGAGTTGTTGATGTTAATTGCTGTAATATCGGCCTGCACTGAGGCTTTCCTGCAAGGTGGGCAGGGCTCCCATTCCTGGTTCTGGGGTCGTTATGCTGAAGCAAAATTAAATCTTATGTAGAGTACTTCTAGTGGCTCGAACAAAAGGCAGCAATGGTTGGCATGTCGGTGGTTCCGGTTTCAGCTTGGGCCGTTTGTGCGTCTCTCCGATGGTGGTCTTGCGGCGTGTCTCATCATTCCGTCGCGAGTGCCGAAGCTCGAGCAGGATTGCGCCATTTTGTCAGCACCTTTCTTCACCCAAGTGTTTGTGCCATGATGTTCCGCCGTGCCAGTCCTGCCACGGTTCTTGTGGCCGTAGGCCTCGCTCTCGGGGGTTGCTTTGCGTGGCCGCTGGTGCTGCCAGCAACTTTCGTTGCCGCTGAATCTGCCCTGCTGTGCAAGCAGGCAGCTGGCCAAACACTGCGAAGCACTTCCAGGATGTCGAGGCTTCGCACGAAAGCAGCCCCTTTGCTGACTCTATCCGCTGGGGGCCTTGGTCACTGGCGTGCAGCCGTCGGTGGGCTGGCGAGTCTGGGCTCCGTGCTCGGCTTGGTTCTCGGCTTGAGGTTGAAGCGGCCTGCTAGAAAGAACATGGAGAAGACCCAGCCGACGAGCGCTCGCACAGGCATTTGCGGACAGTGCTTGCTTGGTGAGGAGAGCCAGATCGGGTCGAAAGCTCAGAAAGTTGTGCGGGCGGGCCTGCAGAAGGAGCATCTCACTGAGGACGCGGTTTTTGTGCTGCTCACCAAGGAGTACAACCAGCAGCTAAGCAAGGGAGGACGAGAGTTCCGTGAGCTCCGAGGAAAGCTCAGGGCAGCCGCCCCAAGCTACGAGAAGTTGGTCGTGTTGGTGCTTGATCCGGAGCTCAAAGACACCAGCAGTTGGTCGCCATGTCTACCAGCATATCTGCAAGACCGTTGGGTGGACTTGTCTGGTCTGGACTGGGAGAAGCCGGAGCGGACACTTCGTGCTAGTGAGGATCTCGTCGGAGGCATGGGTGCACTATGCGAGAGAGCGATGGAGACAGACTGAGTAGATGATCGACAGATAGATAGATGATAGATGGACAGGGAAGCACATAGATTGCTAGCTAAGTAAGGGAATACGAATGTGCAAGTGTGCGTTGAGCTTATCGCTGTGCTGTGCCTGAGCGAGGCATCCAGTTTGCGAAGCATCTGCTGAAAACCGCTCTGGAGGCGGAGACGGGCATGAAACGGGTGCTTTTTGTTGGTCCTACTGGAGCCGGGAAGTCGCTGGGCGCCGGCGCTGTTCTTGGGAATTACAAGGCCTTTCAGGCAAGCGCTGGCGCAGCCAGCAAGACGAAAGGGATCCAGACTGCAAAGAGTTTGGTGCACAAGGTGGAGTTGACGGACTCTGAGGGCGTCGGAGACACCAGCATCACGGACATTTGGAGCTTTCTGCGAGGAAGCAAGTCCCTGATTGACAGCCTGCTCAAGCTCATGAAAGAAACTCCTAAAGGCTCTGCCCCTAAAAGTTGGATGTTTCGCAACGACACGCAAATGAGCGTCCGTTGCTGCTTCTACTTGTGTCCGAGGCTTCCACATGGTCGCTTACGTTGCAAGGATGGGGAGGTTCGGCGTGCTAGATGCGAAGATCGCCAGCTTTCTCAAGGAATCTTGGCTGCTTGTTAGCACTCCCTGTTTCCTGTGGCTGGGTATAGGAAAATGTGGAGGAGTGAGTGTACTTGACCCTGAAGAGCTGAGGAATATGTGTTCGTTTCTGAGTCGATGAATGTCTGTCTCATCATCACACATGCCAGTGAACTGTTGCCGATGTCGGAGGAGGAGAAAGCAGCGTGGTTGCAGAAGCAGGTAGAGGAGAACCAGCTCTTCTCTAAGCTCTACGACGTCGTTGACAGGGATCCTCAAAGGGTCGTCTTCGTCAACAACGTGGAACCCAACAGCGCATGCCGAGCAGCCAGGAAAAAGGCTGATCGCGAGGGCGGTTGGTTCGACAGCGTTTCTGAGGAGCAGGTTTGGCAGAGCACAGTGACACTCGCTTTCTGAACAGCAAATATCAGTTTCACCGTTGTTTATCTTTTCTGGGAGGGAGTTGGGAGTCGGAGGGATAAAGGAGAGCAGCGGCTGTTGTTCGTTTTGATGATATCACCACTCCAGGGATGAGAATGAATACGGCATGCTTCGCCTTCGCGAGATGATTCGAGAAGCTGACAAGCCTGCCAAGCCATCGTCTGAAGCCATCCGGAAGCTGATGTCTCAGATGGCACAGGCAGCGGTTGAAGAAGTGAACCCCGCAAAACGTATAGGAGATCTCTTGCAAGACATCAGCAAGGAGCAGAAGTTGCGCAGCGATGCAGAAGCCAGGGCACAGGCCAATGCGACATCAGGGAGTTCAGGATCAAGCAGTGATAGTGACGGGTGCTTCGGTGGCGACTGTGAGGTGGTCGTGAAGGGGCGTGGGACCGTCCTTATGTCCGAGTTGGCGTGTGGGGATGTCGTGCTGGGCGAGGGAGGGTGGTGCAGAGTTGTCACTTGGCTTCATCGCTGCCCCATGGAGACTTGCAAGATGTGGATGATATCCACAACGACGGGAGTAGTCCATGCCACAGGTGATCACTTGATCTTCCTCCAGGCGGGGCTTGCGGGGTTCTACACAAGCCGCAGGGTTTCTGTGTTGTTCCCTTCCTGGTTTTAGAGGCCCCCAGCAGTCCCTTTGCAGGATGGCTCTGCCATGCCTGCTCGCCAACTGAGAGTTTCCCAGCAGCTGGCCACCACCCTCGGTCCGGGTGTTGTGCTGCGCATTGAACAGTATGATGCTCTGGGATATTATGCACCTCTCACAGACACCGGCCGCATCGTGATCTCCGGAACGGTATGTTCGTGCTACGTGCAAAACAGATTTGGCTTCTCCCACGATGTGATGCATGCAGCTATGCTGCCGCTGCGTTTGGCATCGGCCGGCATGCTGCGGACACACTCGCATGTGCAATCACCCCAAACCGGCCTGCATTGGTACGCTGAGTGGCTGGTCCGTGTATGTGAATTCGCATGCAGGTTGAACTCGAGAGTTGGTTTGCTCCCTCCACTGTGCCGGCCCGGTATTCAATCTTGAGCGCCGCTGCCAGTGCGAATTCAGAATGGCTCAGCAGCACGTCTGCCCTGAAAGTTTTGTTTGCGCTAGGCCAGGCTTGTCCTGAAAGAGCGCGCCGTCCCACATCCTCTCGGCACCCCGACGAAAACTCGAACAGATATCCTGAGGCCTACTTCTACACTTTGAGTTCAGGTGGCAGACGCAGTGACCACAAAGCCCTGCATGCTTTGCCGATGTTTCCCGAGGATGTCTCGATGCTCGCGCTCATGTCAGCTAGTTTCGATTTCGGGCCCTGTTACAAGAAAGTTATAACACAGGGACTTAGCTTCGATCTGTGAGTCGTGATGTGGTACGTCAGAAACGGCTGCAAGGCGGACTTTGCATGCGGTTGAATGGCTAGACGTGTGCAGTGGACATAAAAAGGCAACAGCTGCGACGAGAGATGCAGAGCTGAAGATCCCGAGCTCTGTAAGCATCCGGACACTACTAGTAAATAACTTACCTCCAGCCCGAACCAGTGCAACCAAGCTGCAGGTTCAGGGCCGCTTTGAGGTGGCCGAGCCAGTCTTCAGACGAACGCTGAAGGTTTGCACCTCAGTCGGCCTGGGGCTCAAGGCTCAAGGTTTTAACACCCGTAGTTGCAGCAGCCCTGAACTTGCAGCGCTCCATCCTGGGCACTGCGCCGTTCTATTCACTCACATTCTGGCAGCAAGTCTGAGCTTTTGCGATTTTTTTGCGCAGTGACACTAAACTCGCTTCTTCTATCCTGTGTCCCCAAGAAGTGTATCGGCGTGGACGATGCGGTGTCTGAAGATCCTGAGGCAAAACGAAGCTTGGCACACGGTATGCGGACTGGGAGGCCTCGACCACATAATCCGCTCATCTCCCCCTCCAGAAAATACTTTAAAAATTCGATTCAAATTATTTATTTTCGGAAATAGGAATATCTTTCGAATATATATCAAAATACGTAAATATATTTCACTATTAGATTCTATCATTCGAAAAATATTTCTGCGAGAATTAACGTACTTCATTTGAATATTTTCAAAGTCGATTTCTGCTGAATATCGACGATTTAGATTTTAAGGATTGAGAGTTAGAAATTGAGTAAGGATATAAGAAAATTCATAAATCGATTTGATGAAATCTAACTTTTGATACGATGATGATTTTTGAATATTTAATATTGGAAGCTTATATAAATGATTAGATTATAT